TATATATATATATAGATATATATATATATATATATATATATATATATATATATATATATATATATATATATATATATATATATATATATATATATATATATATATATATCAGCTGCCAACTTTGTTCTTGGGATTTCTTAACATTGGAACAAGGATCACGATTGCTTTTTTTACTTTCTCGTATATACGAAGTATAGAGAAAGTCTTGTAATCGTGCAAAAAAAAAAATCGAGATTTTTACAAATCTCGACGTTTTACATCTCACTGATACGGAAAAACATAATTTTGCAATCTTGTCCGTATGTCTGTGTGTCTGTCTGTCTGTGTGTCTGTGTGTGTGTAAACAAGATAACTTGAGTACCGTTACAGCTAGGTTGATGAAATTTCATATATAAGTATTTTATCAAAATTGTATATTCATATCAACTTTTGAGCGATTTCCAATAACCGGAAGTGGTACTTTTTCTACTTTGAATTTTTCAAAAGCCTATAACTTGAGTACTATTTCAGATAGATAAATGAAATTTCACATGTAAGTAAAAGATCTAATTCTCTTTGTTCTGTCAAATTTTAGTAATTTCCGTTGACAGGAAGCACTAATTTACGCTATTTCCGATTTCTCAAAAACGCATCTAAATTTATAAAATACTAATAATATTGCGCACCATTATGAACATCTTTATTCGGCGTTCGCTTGGTGCGCAATACTTTTTTCTGTAAGATTCTATTCTATTTTTAAAAGTTTAAGTATTTAAAATGGATTAAAAATCATAACTATATCCCGAGTTCCCATCCCCTGTTGTTTTATATAAGAATATTCGAGAAAGTTTAGGGGAGATCACTCCCGGTTTTTTTTTTCAATACATAACTAATATTTTTAATTAATATTTATTTCTAATCATTTCTTCTTTTTGGTACATTATTGTTTATTATGTCTCTGGGTTAGCTTTAAAAATAAACATAAAAAAATCAAATCAATGTACCTGAAATTACAAGTGTTATGATAACAGGCACAGACTTGCAGTCCTCTGCCAGGTTTCGGTCACTGAAAAATCCGAACACTTCCTTGTAGTCAAAGTTTGGGGTCAGCTGATAGCCCTAAACAAAAGTTAATAGGCTTAAATTTTTAACACAGTGACTTCTAAAATCTTTTGAAGTAAATATAAGTATGTGTATTGTTATGAGAAAGATTATAAATACTGTAGAAGAATAGTTTATGTGCATATATAAAAATAATTACATACACACAAGACAATACAAACTATGACTTACTAGCCAAACAGTGAGAGCTATTTTACAGAGACAAGTCAATATCTGGGGATAGTATCTGCCCATCTGAAGCTCATATCTCATCTTAAGAACCATATTTTTAAACCAGTTTTTGTGATTCAGATTACAGAAAAATTTTCCATCCACAAAATTTTCCCAGTGATTGCATGAGACAAGGATTATAGCAGCAGTCAGCTCAGTTATAAACTGTTGGTCCTTCGTAAAATCTTTATCTTTAACAGCTGTCAAATAAAATAGAAAATGTGTGTGTATATATATATATATATATATATATATATATATATATATATATATATATATATATATATATATATATATATATATATATATATATATATGTGTGTGTGTACTTAAATTCTGTAGCCACTGTATCCTAGGTTTGTGTTTACTTTTGGGTTAGTATTTAGAGTAGGCTTAGTGTAGATAGGTATTTAGTTTTATTTAGTGTTTAACCAGCCTTTGTTTTATTTAGTCTTGTGTTTTGTAATCGTTTGTGGTTGTTCGTCTTATATGTTGTGCAACATACTTGATTACGCACTTGATTAATCATAATTGTGTGTATGTGTGTTCGCTACACAAACACATTTAAAAACTTTAAAAACAATTGAAAATTAAAAATAAAATTTACCCTCATAAGTCATTATAGCTGTAATTATGTATAGTCCTACATACATTTTTAAATTATAGTATTAGCATAATAGATGATTTAGTACATTGAAGCACAGAAGAATAGCCTTCTAATATGAAATATAAGTTTGCAGAAATGTAATAAAAAGCTTACCATCTAGATCTAGGTTGAAGTTGAGAACAACAATCAATGGGATGGCTGAGACTTGAAGCAACATGACCACCAGGTCAAACATGGACTGGATCAATTTTTGCACCATCCCCGTGATGCAAGTCAACTGGGTTACCTCATACTCTTGACCAGACATGGTCAGCTTCAGGATGGATGGGATTAATGCCGTGGCGTTGAGTAGCATTAACCCTCTGATGGCTTCTAACTGTGGCAGGACTCTAAACACCAGCAGGCAGAGACCAACAGAGTGAAGATTTTCTACAATGAAAACCTGGGGGTTAAACAGGGAGTAATTTTTTTTTAAACTGCTGCAGCTGTGTTTCCCAAAACACCATAATTTGGCATCATTTCAATTAAAAACTAAACCTCAGTTATAAGAATTCACAATCTTAAAAATATATCTTAATTTTATTTTAAATAATAACAGTAACAATATACTAGTAATTTAACTAATAAGTGAACATTAGGGATCATTAATAAACTATACAAAAGATAATCTATAAATGATGTTAGGGGTTATCAATAAATAATATCAAACTAATTAAAGGTCATTTTTACCCACCAGCCTCATGCTTTTAGCACACATTGTCACAAAAAGCTAAACCTATCCTCCACATAAAGTAAGTAAAGCTGTACATTTAGAGCTAATGCTCCATAATGCAGATGAAGTAGAGCTCATGTTTCTTGATCTCAGCATATGAAGGTATAGTGTTAACACTATGCCCAGCTGCCTTTACTTTCCCCAACATTAGTCAGATATCCATCAGAGCTGGGTGGACTCAAGGACTTCTTTCAGTCCCAAGACCAGACCAAGATTCAAAGTTGAGAACTTGGGACTAGCAGCCGAATGCCATATTATCCCATCATGCCATCCCCTACCCTCCACATAAAATAACAATAATATGAAATATCATGTCTTAAATTCCCCCTTTCCAAATTAAGCACATCAACTAGGTAGTCCAAACTGAAATTAACTATTGATTGCAGACTTCTGGAGTGAGTATGTCATGAAAGAACTTTTAATTGTAAGGTCTATGCCACAAATTTTATAAAAATATCTCAATAAATAAAAAAGTTATGCGATTTTTAAAAAAGCAAAATTTGGTAAAAAACTGATTTTCAAAAAGTGCCATTTTTGAGAACCCATATTTTTTAAACTAAATAACATAGAAGTGTGGAAATTGGTAAAGTTGCTGCAAAGTTTGTAATATATATGCCCAATTTTTTTCAGTCATCTAAAATGAGTCTTTCTAAGGTAAAAAAATAATTGAAAATGACAAAAATGCGTTTTGGTCACTTTTATTTTCATAAAAAAAAAAAAATTCAATTTTTTTTTTTTTGCTTTGGAATAACTCTAAAATTATTGTGTTGGTAACATCGACGTGGAAAAATGTGTTAATTATTTTCAAAAATCACATGAGTTAAAATATTATTTTAAAAAAGACCACAGTTATCTAGTGCAGGAGAAACAGAATCAAAATTTAGTAGAGTAAATGTAATGTAATGTAGTTTAATAAAGACGTGATGCCTACAAGTGATGCAGCAGTTGATGCCACATGCTTTGGTTTCTTTTCAAACCTGATAACTGCTTTGGGGGAACAGTTTTGGGGGAACATCTTTGTACGTCTTGTTTCCCTCAACCTTGATCTTGTGGAGCATCAAGAGTAAGTAATATGTTTTGGGAATTGTAGGGGGGAGGCCACCGTAAATGTCTCCAGCTATGGAACGAACAATTGATTTAGTGATTAATAAAATATAATTAAATTTACTACTAGCCTATTGTGTAGGCCTACTATTTGTCCTATGACTATAACTGGAAACATATGAAAAAGCCTGAAAACACCTTTTTGTTAAAAGTAATTTATATTTTTTATATATATTTTTAAGAGTAATTCTACTGAATGAAATTTGAAATAATCGTTGCTTGTCCCACAATGGTTGAGATATCCAATGATGAAGATGCCATACTGTGGTTCTCAACATCCTATAGGACAACTTAACTGTCCTTCATTGTTACTATTATATGCATATAAAATAAATAAATAATGAGAAATACTACTAGTACTACTTACACTTACAACTAATATAACATTTAAAACTAAGTCACAACATGTACAATCTTAATAAATTGCACAACCATCTAAAAATTGATCTGGTACATTTTATTAAGGAGACTGGCGCAGACCATTTCACATTATTCAGCAGGGGAATCAGAATCAGAGTGCACAACAGAAAACAAAAAAAAAATAATCACATTAGTCCTTCAAATTTAGTGTCTTTTGTTTTAAATACATTGATAAAAATGTATAGTTATTATAATTATAAATTTCTTTTGTGTTTCATTAGTATTTTATAAGTATTTAACCTTCGTTCCCTGTAAATAATTGAGTTCGTCCACATAGTAACCAGGATAGTCTGGTGGTCATTTTGAATTTGTCGATTCATAATTTTGACGTGATAGTCCAGATAAACTGTAGTAATACGACCCTATCATTGATCCCAGTCAATAGATTTTAAAGAATTAGTAAACACTAGCATCTAATAGTTAAGTGCATCCATATTTCAAGTCCCTAGAATGTCCTGAATTAAATAGCTTCACGTCTAAACACACCCTGTGTACATTTAAGTGTATAAGCGTAGTTCACACGCTAAAACCGTGGACTTGTAGCGTTCAAATTTACATTAATAACGTGTACTAATTAAACCAAACTGACATTCAAACTTAAAATTCATTTATTAAAATGGAAATGAAACTTTAAAAATGATACTTACAACTTGTTTGAAGGCTCTAGCAAGGGTAAAATCCGTTTAGCATCATCGGTCGTCAACCTTTAAAACCGTTCGGCGAGCAACTTACTCGGGGCTGAAAGTCGACTCGAGGGTTATATGTTTATTGGGGGTACGGCTTCGCGACCGTAAATCAGAAATACTTGAATTTACAACACAAAGTAGTTATAAAACTGAACTTTACATCGGTGTAAAAATTGAAACAGAATTAGTTTGTTTCCGTGTATATATCGTCATTTAAAGTTTAAAATCTGTATTTTTTTAATGAAATAAACAAGTTATTTTTTCAATTTATACATCAAACGATAGCCTAGAATTCGATCTTTAAAGTGACATTAAGATTATGCTTCTACGATGCTTCGTCGCGAAGCCGCGACCAAATAAAACAGTGTGGGGTCGATCGGTACACGCAAAACGGTGAAATTTGTTGACGTAACTGATACTTTTCAAACAAATATAAAACAGATTCAAACATGTGTTACAGATATAAAAATACCAGATTACGACAGATAAAGACTTAAACTTTATTGACATATAATTTTTATTCTTATAGGACAACTAGAAGTAGTGAAATTTTTTTTTTGAAAACCGCAAAAACTGACCCTAAAACGCACTTTTTCGCCAGTTTGGACTACCTACATCAACACCAAAGATTGAAAGCCTAGGTGTGTGACATTAAAATTGTATAAGGATGACAAAATACAGCATAGCTTATTTATCATAGGACAAAGACAATTTTCTTACCCATATCCAAGTCCAAATAGAGGGCACTTTGTGTTTTCCAAAAAAAACTTTTAACACAGAAATCAACAAACACAAAGCATATGGGATGCAGATTGATACCACAAGATAAAAAATTGAGATTGACTAGTGAAATAAAAGAAACAAACTAAAATTAATTGATTAAAGTTCACAAAATGTTGATTTTTTTTTCAAGACAATTTTTACAAAGGTAATTTTATGAAATGTTAAAAATGAAAGAAAAATCTAGTTTATTGGAGAAAAACAAGGTGTCTGAAACAAAGTATAAAAATGTTTTATCACATTGGTATTAACCAACATTTAATTTAATATAACATTAAACTATTATTTCACAAGTGATCTAAAAATGAAACTACAAGTTACTTACTCTCTGACGCTGTCCATCTCGACATCCTGTATAGTTCTTAAATAGTTTCTGAATGTTTGCAGTCGTTGAATTTGCTTCTTCAAGAAGAACAAATAAACTCACCTAAAAGTTATTAAATTGTGTATTATCAGACATAAAAACGTGTTACTATTTCTTTAGTTTTAGCAGTGCTTGAGATTTTATGCAATACAATATTAGAAAAGCCATGCATGGTAATAACTCTTGGTGAGCGCGCCAGCCTGCTTTCTTGCAAAAAGATGAATAACAGTTTTTAACAAGTGGATCAAGAACTGATGTATAAGGTATTAAGAAAAGGTTTAGAAAGTAATTACCAAAAAAAAAAAGCCTAATACTACCCTACTCTTTAGTCTAAGCTCAAGGTATATTGTGTCTGTTATCTATAAAGTTAGAATAGTTGGTCTTCAAATTTAGGCTTAACCAGTTTATTTCAAATTTATTTTACAAAGCTATTTAGCATATGACATGGCTTAAAATGACCCCCCCCCCCCTTCCCCGACGCACATTAGCATTTTTAAAGGCTTATGAGGTGAAGTTAAATTCAGAGCTTAAGAGGTCACCATATATCAAAACTCTTCATTACCTTTTCTATCTAATGTTTGTTAAAACATGTGTGCTTTGTGTCAATTTAGTGTCAGGGTATCACAACTTTTGAATTACTGGTGAGGTAGGTGTATGAAGGACACAAGAAATGGCGTGGTCAAAAGGTAGAGACTATGACTAGTAACCCAAAAGTCTCAAGTTTGAATCTAAGGCTCATGTCAGTAGAACTTCCTTGAGTCTGCCCAGATCTGATGAGTACTTGACTCATGTTAGGGAAAGCAAATGCAGCAGTGATTTACTTTACTTTTTTTTTTACAGAAGAAACCTCCACTGTAGGCCACACATCCTACATCAGAGTGTGAACCACACTTTGTAACATGTTAGATAAGCTATGACCCTCATGGGGAACCCCCATCCCCCTTTCAAATAACATTTATTTTTAAGCTTAACCCTCACCTTCTGACAGGTCAAGGCCACCAGGATAATAATAAACAAGAGAAGATAAACTATCAACTTGATAACCCTGAGGATTGTCTGCTCATGAACATCTTTTCTCTCCACCTCTTCTGCAATCTCTTGTAAAAAATCCCATGCTCTAGAAAAAAAAAATTGGATGTTTTGTTTGATGTTTCATATTGAATAAAAAAAATTGATATTTTGTATTTAACGCAATGAAACTAAAAAATGAAAACTTAAAATATAGTTTTAAAGTGTTGTACAAAGATAGAAATAAGATTTTTTTTTAAAGTTTAAATTTGCTTTTGCATTAAAGAATAAACCATTGAAAACATTCTTACGCTGTTGGTTTGCTATCTGGCTCAGATTCTTCAACTGTTTTGACAGTTGTTTCATCGTCATCGTCTGACTCATCATCATCTGAAGAATAAGCCCTATTTTCTCGAAACCTAAAAATACAATCAGTTGGGCATTTAACATTAACTCAAAATTTTAAATTTTTAGGAGTGTTGGACAGAATTCTTTACTTCAGGATGTTTAAGGAAAGTGTATATATATAGGCCGGGTATGGGGCATTACCCTCCCCCATCTGTCAATTACCCCACGGACATTTCCCCTCCCCCATCATTACATCCCCCACAGAGCTATTGCCCCCTGTCAATTACCCCCCAATGATAAAGATATGGTAGACACTCAATGGTTTGAGTGGGAGGACAGTATAATTGTGAATCTACAGTAAAAATTATAACATATAGTTCTAGAATGTGGCATATTAACTGAGTTTTATGGAACAAAAGAATGAAACAGTATCAGTTGGCCGTGAAGTGTTGCACTAAGATGTTGTACTATGATGTACTGAGATGTCATATTGAGATGTTGTACTGAAGTGTTGTACTGAGTTGTTGTGCTCAGATGTTACTTACTCAGTACTACTTGTTGAGGTCCTGTTGTACACAGGGTCGCTGTTCTTGGATTCAGGGGTGTTGGCTTCCATGATGGGGTCCAGTGGCTGCTGTATAGAACATAAATATGTAACACAAACAATGGAGGTTTGAACATAAAACATATCACTTTTTTATCACTTAATGACGAAAGGTGATGTTTTAGTTAGGTTTTGTTATAGAGTTAGGTTTTATCCTAGAGTTAGTTAGGTTTTGTACTAGAGTTAGGTTTTGTACTAGAGTTAGGTTTTGTACTAGAGTTAGGTTTTGTACTAGAGTTAGTATTAGATTTGAGGTTGAGACATAGTTATCTGCAGTATTACTTATACAAAAAATCCCTTTGAATACTTTTACTATGTTTGGCATATGAAAGTATTAAACATCTATAAAGGGTTGAAAACAATTCCAGTTGTCATGGAAACATGAAAAACCCTCCGCCATTTTGAATTTTTTAGTACTTTTAAAAACTCTACAACTTTTTTTATTTATGTACTTATAGCAATCAAATTTATGTCTTTTTTTTGTCACGACAACTTTTTGATAGAGCTACTGGTCAGAAGTCTGAAAAAACGCGCCCTTTTTGAACTCAAAAGTTTCAAAATGTGCGTATTATTTACAATAAACTTTTTTCTATGAAAGCTATCACAATTTCCTCGTGACAAAAGTTTTATTTTTGCTAAAGAGCAATTACTGAAAATATGGTGGGCATTGCTTTATACATATATAAAAGAAGAAGGCTTTTTAAAAACTCCAAACTGAGAAAAACAGCAAAAAGTAACAAAAAAGTGGGTCATGAAAATATCATCATTGTGTAATTTGTAAAGCCAATTGTGAGCTTTGGGTGTTTCTGAGATGATGGAAAATACAATTATCAAATAATTGAGAAACCCAGCTTTCCAATGATGACAAATACAATATGATGACGGATATTAAACTTTTCATAGAGAGTTTGTAAGATTGGGAAAAAATTATTATTTTGTAATTAATGGGGTCATAAAAATGGCATTTTAAACATGTTTAAACTTTGTTTTCATTAAAGTTTTTTTTTTCTTAATACAAAAATGGACAAAGTATCCAAAAATGCAAAGAACCTATTATGACAAAAAAATCAGGATTTTGGTGATTTTTTTTTTGGCGCATATCCCCTTAAACATGGTAGATCAAAACAAACAATAATTAACCAAAAATATTTTGTTCTTTACCCCATCCACAACATCCATTAATTCTGATTTCAGTATGTTGGCACTTATTTTTTTCTTCATTTTTTCCTCTTCTTTTTTCTTTCTATCCTCTTCCATCTTTTTAAGCTTTTCAATTTCAACTTTACGTAATCTTTCTTCTTCCTGTTTTCTTCTTACAGCTGACAGTGAGTCATCTAGAATACGCTTTACATGATCTTTCATAAATATCTGATAAAAGAAAATTAAAATTTACATAATTCGCAATATGAAATAATGAATGGAAATATTCCATAATGATTAGTACAAATTTAAGTATGAAATAGATTTGTTAGCTTTAAAATTGCAAGTAGTTATTAACTTAAGTGTTAGTTATCTTTTAATCAATAATACTATAATTGATTAAAATAATAGTAATAGCTGATTTAACATTTGATTTTGTTTAAAAATAATTGGTTCTTAGGATATCATTATTAAATGACAATATGAAATTAAGATGTTATCAAAGTATTATATCAAAAACATCAAACAGATATCACTTATAGATACATTTTTAAAAATCTGTAAAAAAAAAAAATTTGTTGGATTGGATTTCAAGGAAGAGCAACCATTTTATATAAGTTTGAATATTGAACATACCTGTGTTTTTCCTACTTTAAATGTTGATGAAACAGCTAGGATGGAACCAAATATTGCTTCTGAAATATTTGGCTCTGTATTTCCACCTGCCAAATCTTTATACCTAAATGGCAATACATATTTAAATAGTTTAGTAGCAAAATTACTAAAGTTTAACACCAAAATAACATAGAAGCATTGTTTTAATTTTAAGAAAATGCCTTACTGTTTTTCAAAATTTGCTCGAGTTAACCTAATGGGAAATCCAAATGTTCTAATTCTTGCAATTTCCTTCACACCATTATACTTGAGTTGTGTTTTGACTCTGTCCTCCACGAACTCGCCAGGTTTTTGCTTGTCATTTGGTTTTATGCACCTTAAAAAAACGACCTCAACTAGTTATTATAAAAAATGTTATTAGTACTTTAAACGTGCTTGATAAATTTTATCCTAGGATTAAATAAGACCAGAAATGAATCCTAACCTGATGAAATAAGGAGTTGCTCCTTTCATTGCTTTAAGCAGCTCCTCCAATGAGTTCTATACAATTCAATAAAACATAAATAAAAGGTAAATAAGAGATTAATCTTAAACAAGCATGATAAAAATCAAACTTTGCTTATTAATAAGTAACACTTTGGGAAATAATTTCTAAGCAGGTTACAAGAGAGCACTGATTCACCAGATTTTAGAAAAAAATTAAAATACAGCTAAATAAACTGCACTCCAAGACCATTATTAGGCAGTTCTAACAAACAATAGAAAAAATGTTAACCAAAAAGACAAAAGTGAAAACTAAGTTTCTATAGCCTTCTCTGGCCAGATATGGACACCTTAATCTGGCTACTTTTTAAAATAAGACTGTCATAACGAGTAAAGTTTGAGTATTTCACTTACCCTGAAGAATGTGATGGTTGTGCTGCGTCTGGCGCGGTCTCTTAGCTTATAGTTTGGTGTCTTATCCCCAAATCTAACAACAAAGTAGGGTTTAAAATTATAGGTTGGAGAAAAACCTATTACTTAAGATTTGACTTTATCGAAAGCATTCTTAAAACTCCTTAAGAACTTTCAATTAAATTTTTTACTTTAAAAAAAAATTAAATAATACCGACCAACATTCTACTAACAGAGAGATTAGTAAACATTTACTTGCCTTTGTTTAAGAGACTCGTTCCTGATTTTATTTATACTTTGTGATAAACTACTTTCTATCATTTTTGGTGGACTTTTGATGTTTGGTCTTTTGGAGCCTCTAAACTGGAATTGTGCCCTTTTGTAAAAAAAAAAAAAATTCAAAATTTATTTTTAAAGAAATTTCTTTGGCATTACAAATAAAACAATCGTTTCACAAAGATATTTTTAAAAAATGATTTATAGAAAAATGACAAAAAGAAACTGAAAAATAGCAAAAAAGTAAACATAACAATTAACAAAAATATTTTAGCATTACAAACATATATAGAGATTGAGCCAAGCTGGGCCAGTGAAAAACAAACTTACATAGAAATGGAGCCAGTCAAACTCTCTGGGACAGAGAACAAATCTTGTATGAGAGTGCTCTGACTGGATCTAAAACAATCCAGCATGTCATCACTAAGGGTGTCTCTGTTTTTCTTGATGAATGACCGAGCATCATAGGACACCTACAAAGGAATTTTAAATGTACATTTCTTTTAGTGTTAAATCCAGTATTAGTTTACATTATCAGCTCAACAATGATTTAGATTTTTTTTTTAACTGCAGGAATCTAAATTCAAAGATAAACATATGGGTTCATGTGGAAATATCAGTCTGTCAATACAATATTATATACAGATTTTTCTATCAAAGTTAAAAGGTTGAGTGTTAAGATGAGCTTATAGGCTATGTCAGGGATAGGACTAAGGGTTATCACCACAGTTAATTTAAGATACTGATGTTAGCTAAAAAAAAAAGCTTGATACGCCAAGATTCTCAAAAATACCTACACATGTTTCTTTAGGGCGACAATAAATCTTAAATAAAAACATAGTCTACCTCGCCAGCAAAGTGCCTAATTTTAAACTGCGGGGAGCTGTTTTGGCTGGGTATAAAAATGTTGTTGGAGCCATACATGGACTTCAGTTTGTAGACCAGTTTGTTGTCATCAGAGAACTCCAGCTTTGAATCCTCATCAATCATCGCAAGAATTCCAGATTTTTTCTACATAAGAACAAGAATATATTAGCTGCTAGAATTCCAAATTTTCTCTAAATAAGAATACAAATATTTCAAATGCATGAATCCCAATTTACTGTAGATCAGAATTTATTTCATGCATCTCTCCCCCACCCCAAGATCAAATGAAAAAAATAAAAATATAATTCATATAGAAAATATTTACTTTAATTACCCCCCCCCCCCCAACCCCTCAGAGAAAAGTGTCTGAAACTCTGCTCTTAGTGAGGGTTGAGTTAATTAAATCAGTAAAATACCTCAATGAACATGTGCAGTATGGAGTCATTGTTTATTCCTGTAATATCAACATCACTAATTTCAACACCCTCCTCCAAATAAAGAAGTCTTTCATCTTCAATAACTTGTTTATTCATAAAATTCTGTAAAAAGAAAAAGTAATGTTTTATCAGTGAATAGAACATAGAAAAAATAAATGTTGACACACATTTGAAAACCAATAATAACCTAAAGATAAAAATATAGTGATCATTAACTGACTCCGAGCCAGGTTACATACAGTTGCTCAAAGCCATTCTAAGAAAAAATTCGGCTCTATTTACAAGAAATCTTTATTGACAGGTACTGTAGTTCTAGTTACAAGATATGTTTATCAACAGATACTGTAGATCTAGTTACAAGATAGATACTGTAGATCTAGTTACAATATGTGTTTATCAACAGATACTGTAGATCTAGTTACAAGATAGATACTGTAGATCTAGTTACAAGACAGATACTGTAGATCTAGTTACAATATGTGTTTATCAACAGATACTGTAGATCTAGTTACAAGATAGATACTGTAGATCTAGTTACAGGATAGATACTGTAGATCTAGTTACAAGATGTGTTTATTGACAGATATTGTATTTCTATTTACAAGACACATTTATTGACAGATACTGTAGTTATGATTACCTGAAGCTGTTCATTGACAAGGTTTATACACAGTTGCTCAAAGCTGTTTTGTTCCAGATTCTCAAAGCCGCAAATGTCCAAAATTCCAATACTTGGGAGATTTCTAAAAAAAACAAAATAAGAATGAGTCTCGTTTGAATGTACACATTTTTAGACATTGTGGCTTCCATTAAACATAAATATAAGTTAAAAGTTTAATTGCTTATACAAATATAAAATAGAAGTCAGTAGTGTGTAAATGAAACTTATACAATTGTTAACATAATTTTAGCCTTTACATTAAAATGTAGTTAATTTGAACCATAAACTGTGTATGGAGTGAATTAAATTGGTAACATTCTATTTATTTAATTTAGCATTTACTTTAAAATTTAGCTAATTTGAACCACAAACTGTGTATGGAGTGAATTAAATTGGTAACATTCTATTTATTTAATTTAGACTTTACATTAAAATTTAGCTAATTTGAACCATAAACTGTGTATGGAGTGAATAAAAAAACCTTGATTAAATTGCGCAACATCAGAGGTTCTTACTTTATCACAGTAGGTTTGAGGGAATCATTGATCCTTCTGACCAGCCAACCAAACATTCGTTCATACAATGCTTTGGCTATAGCATCTCTTTCATCTTCTGCCTGCTTTTTTGATTTAGATAGTTCTATCATCTCCCCTGAAATCAAGAAATTTTGTTTATATTCTTTTGGTTCAAAGCACTTATTTTAATAAAGCAAATTTCAAAATATGTTTGCTTTAATTTTTATTTTCCATTTTAATTAGTCATTTTTAAACAATATTTAAAAATTTTTTATCCCATATTATTCTCTAAATTTAATTGAATTAATATTTAATTAACCATGAACATTATTCACTCTATTAAGTATACCAGTTGTGAAAACATAAAACATTAAAAACAAGGTTTTTATATTAAGTTTTTAAGTTTTAATTATTTAATTTTTCAGAGTTAGCCTAAATATTACAGTGACATCCGATGGGGAAAATGGCATCAATGTCAGCTTTAATAAAAGTAAAAGGAAGGATATTAAATTTTAAAAACAATTATATTGGGTTGTAGTTCATTTGGAGTTTTAGTTGGGGCTTTTTTTTTTTTGGTTTGTTTGGTTCATTGTGGATAGTCATTGTTACAATTATGGAATTTGTAAACTATTAACGAAACAAAATGGGTCAAATAAAAAAGCAGATATTAAAGCCTGGGAAAACAAACATAGCTCAATAACAATACATACATTGATTTAAATAAATGATATCCTATAACTGTGAACAATATTTATCAAATGTTAGCAATAAAATTGTTGAAAATACAAACACATGTTGACTGATTTATATTTTACTCTTAAGTTCACTTAGATGAGTTTTTAATATATAGATAGGAAAATACAAAGCAGGGGAGGTGTGCCAGATTTTTAACTTTTACAAGCTAATTTAAAAGCCCTACCTCATTTTAAAAAAAATTCTTATTCTAAATGCCAAACTGGACTTTACGTATAGTTTAAAAAAATTATAGTGCAAACCTATTACTGCAAAAACTTTAAAAAAAAAAAAAAAGAAAAAAGTAAATTATGTTTCAACTGTTTTTTAAAACAATAAAGAACAATGTAAAGTAAATTAAATCTAAGATCTTTCTTCTTAACAGAATATAGCATATTTACGATTTTTGTTTTTAATCATCTTAAGTCATAAAAAAAGCAAATTTAAGGGAAGGTTTAGGGCAGCAGGTTTAATATCATAAGCCAGATAAAAAGAGTTAAATACTCTATATAGAATTTTATGAATAAAGAGTTAAATAATAAAGGTTTGCAACAATTTAATGTGCATTTGTTCAATGAATTAATTTTTTACGAAATATTTTTCAAAATGTGCAATAACTAAAAAGTTTATATTTACTACATTATTTTACTACAATATAGGTAAATAAATCAGTTCTAACTAACTTTGCCACTTTATTGCTACTTATATGTGTTGAAAATCATACGGTCACACACATATAAAATTATGCTGGATGGGTAAAGGAATTTATCATAAGATTTTCACCTGAATCATCATCATCAAACGAACTGTTTCTGAAATCACTGTCAAGTGATTTACCTGTGAAGAGGTACTGATCTATATTCATTGCTCAATAAGAAGAACTTACCTCGCTATGGTGTTTGGTGAAGGATTTGTGTAGTGTTAAGTGTTAGTACAAGGCAGGCTCATGATAAAATTGAAAACAAGCTACATAATATTTTAAATAAAATGTTTTAATAAATTAGTGTGCAATAAGGAAAATTAAAGAAATTGTTATAAAGTGCAGTGTTAGTTTAAATAAATAAAGGCAACCAGTGCTGCTTTTGTTAGAGGAAAATGAAAAAAATTATCATTTTTAAACTCTTTTTAAAAAAAAAAAAATGACTAAAGTTTTTGCATAAATTAAATAGTTTTGGTTTAAGACCAAAACAGCACTGGTAGAAAATATTAGCAAAAAAAAAAAAAGAAATTTATTCCAAAAATATTAAGAAAAGATATTTTTTTTAATATGTTTTTTTAAAAATTAAAGATAAAACAGATAGTACTATTATATAGATAGTTTGTGACCTATGTCATTGATACAGAGAAGATAATGTATTTTCTAACATATTAAACATAAACAACATTCATACCATGACTTTATTCACATATCATGACATCACTATATACACATAACATCGTTCTATATATACATAACATAGTGTTACCTTTGCTAGCAGTAGCCAAGCTGCCATTGCTAAGGCGGTTGCTACTAACAACATTGTAGACGGTTTGCCGGTCTGGTGAGAGTTTGATTAGTAATTAACTTCCAAAAAAGGTTTAAACAATAGGCAGATGGTTCCATTTCAAATGGCTGAGTCTTATAGAAAGATATCATTAGACAACACCCTAGCACACAGATAAAGATGGATTAATTTGAAAAGGTTTTTTCCATCTTTCAGAGTGTACAAGTTGGTTTTGTTTTAGTAAAGCACTGTTAACAAAACAAAAAACTAGTTTGAACTAAAATAGTGTGTATGGTCATCCATAAACTACATCATGCTATTATAAATTATTTTTATCTCTCCCCCCTCCCCATGGTAAGTCATCATCACAAAAAAGCCCCCCCCCCCCCCCCAATCCCCCCAACTAATAAACTAAAAATTGAAATTTTTTTAAATTTTAAAACTTTAATTTTTTTTTCTACCAAAGTGGAGTTGACAGTTTATGGATGCCCCACAGAGTGCAAAAAGCAAATATTAAAAACAATCAAAACTAATTAGGCTACTTGTCATGTAGAATTTAACTCTCAAAAATATATTGAATACCAGCACCAAAAAATAAAAAAGTAAAAAATAATTTGAAGTAAAAGACAACAACTGTAGTTGAAGGCTAAGTTGTGTCCCTTATGTAATTGATAAGATGTCAAACATCTTCAGAATAAACTATTCACTAGACATTTTAAATCTTTAAAACTGATAATTATTTCAAAAAGGACTAATTGTGCAGAAATTTATTTCAGCAAAATAAATACTTCAGTAATTGATTCATCTACTTTTTTGTTTGTTGCTATTTCTATATTAAACTTCTGTTGTAATTGAAATTATTTCCAAGGGCTTATTATTAGTGTTTATGTGAGTCAGCCATCAACTCACTCAAAGTAATGCAGCTATAAAGTAGTAATTATTGTCAAACTGCAAGCAAAAGTTGTGAAAGAATTTAAAAAAATATTAGATTGTGCTGATCAGTAAAAAATGTGCAATTTAGTCAGATTGTTATCAAAGATTTTGACCTGGTAGCCACAGCTATTCAATGAGAACCCTGCTGTGTTGCTACTTTGTTTTTCTAGCTCCATCTACTTCACCTACCTTTTCCTAATTTTCCTTTGCGTTGTATCAAAACCTTGACTAAACTCTCAGGCTCCAGTTGAAGCAAATAACCAACTGCAAAATTTAAATTAACATTTAACTTTTACAATTTTTCCTGAAAAATTAAATATATCATCAAACTATTTTTGTAATGCATTTACTGAAGTATTAATCATATTTAATAATTACTATTATTTACTGTTACTTAGCCATACTTTCAGAAAATAATGTACACAGCTGGTGAAGCAGTCAAAAATTATAAATACACGATACCACAACACCCATTTTTACCTTGGAGAACAAGAGACTCGTTTTCAATGATGACAGAATCATGGTCTCCTTCACGGAACTCTATGTTTCCAATATGCAAGATGGCTGCCAAAATTGTGTTGATGTCTTGGATTTCCTGGATTAATAATGTTAATGCCAGATGGGTCATTCATTAATCAAAGCATGTAAGATGGGGGGGGGGTGAGACTTCTGGGTGGGAGGATACAAATGTGATAATACTGCATGATTTCTATTTTTTTTCTTTATAAAAACTGATATTGAAAATATTTTTAAAACGTCACAGTTATGATCATTTTTATGGTGGGGGGGGGGGGTTGTGCTGTCATTTTAGGGTGGGAAGGTGTTGAGGGGAGGGACCTTTGGGGGCAAGGTATGCTGTTGAGGGAAGATAAGGTGAGAAAAAATAATATGTCAAGGAAAACCACTAACTTTTGAAACTATACCAAAAATCTGAACAATGAATCTGATTTTTTGTTTTAAACTTGAATTAAAAAAATGTGAATGTGTATTGTCTTACATCTGTTGTGATTTAAATAAGGTTGAACACATCCTGCTTTTTTAAAACTTGAATTTAAAAAATGTGAATGTGTATTCTTTTACATCTGTTGTGAGTTTAATGAGGTTGAACACATCCTGCTTTTTAAAAACTTGAATTTAAAAAATGTGTATTCTCTTACATCTGGTGTGAGTTTAATGAGGTTGAACACATCCTGCTTTTTTAAAACTTGAATTAAAAAAATGTGAATGTGTATTCCCTTACATCTGGTGTGAGTTTAATGAGGTTGAACACATCCTGCTTTTTTAAAACTTGAATTTAAAAAATGTGAATGTGTATTCTCTCACAACTGGTGTGAGTATGATGAGGTTGAACACATCCTGCTTTTTTAAAACTTGAATTAAAAATATGTGAATGTGTATTCTATCACATCTGGTGTGAGTTTAATGAGGTTGAACATATCCTGCTTTTTTTAAAACTTGAATTTAAAAAAATGTGTATTCCCTTACATCTGGTTTGAGTTTAATGAGGTTGAACACTTGAAAACAAGAATTTTAAAAAAAATGTGTATTCGATTACATCTGGTGTGAGTTTAATGAAGTTGAACACATCCTGCTTTTTAAAAACTTGAATTAAAAAAATGTGTATTCTCTTACATCTGGTGTGAGTTTAATGAGGTTGAACACATCCTGCTGGTCCTTGTAAATTTGTTTGTACAATGCTTTATCCCCACCTGACAAGTGGTAGTACTCTCCAGTGATTCTTTAAATAAAAACAATAAATGTTAGTCTTCAGATGTGTAGATTTTCTATAGTCTTTACAACCAGTGTTTCTTCCAGACTTTTTTCTCCGGGGGGGGGGGGGGGCGGGACACTGTTAAAAGTATATATTTTCTAATTTTCTATATAAATTACATACATTTCATTTCGTTCGGGGGGGGGGGGGGGGGGGGGGGGGGCGGTAAAAAATTTTCGGGGGGCAAAGTCCCCCTGAAGAGATGCCTGGAAGAAACTCTGTTTACAGTTTACAACCCTACGAGTATTAACCCTTAGCAATCAATGGCAACTTGGTATAAGTATAAGTATAAAAATGTGTATCTGGGATTCTGAAAATAAGCAGTCATATTATATATATAATATATATATATATATATATATATATATATATATATATATATATATATATATATATATATATATATACTTAACTTTAACACTGAAAAGAAAATTATCTATATATTCAAACAAACGAAAAATTCTTACGTACCTATAGTTACCTTTCCGTTCTAAATAAAGACTGTCTAGCAATTCATCAGGAGCGCCTATTACCAATGCATAGAAGGCATGAAATGTTCTCTCCCTCGGACTATGGAAGACAACTCTAGATTTCTCGAGCATGTAATCTTTGATTCGTGCTTTATAGATAGAAAAAAAATATTTTTTTATTTCATTACAAATTCAAATATAATTATTAAAAGTATATTATTACAGTTATTAAAATTATACAATCATTAAAATTAAAATTTTAATTAAAATGTTAAAGTCATGTGAAGAGAGATGGCGTTTACAATAGTTATACAAGGCATGGTAGTTTTTATGCTTGGGTGGGGGAGGGGGAAGGAGAGGACATCAAGCCCAACATAAATTAAAAGACAAAAATATTTCCTAATTAAATTATTTTACTTTAATTTTACTTCTATGACGATAGGACAGACATATGGCCTACATACACTTATTTTCTGAATGTTAGTGTGATGCTCTTGATGATTGCTAGAAGTTAATAACTGAGACCGTCACATTTGATTCAGCACAAATCAATCTTGGCGTCTGTTCAGAATTTTGATCTGGCCATGGATTTTCTTGTGGAAGTCCGACTTGTAGTTTAAATACCCCACAGGGACATAAACGATCGTAGCCTACTTATATCTTGCCAATACACCATGAATGGCCCTGACCAGTGGCGTAGGCAGGGGGGGGGGGTTAGGGGGGGTCACAACCCCCCCCCCATAGACCCCTCGGTATATATATATAAAGTATGAGAGGGGGTGCAAATCGAAAGTATGAGGGGGGGGGGGGTGCAAATCGAAAGCTTGTCCCCGGGTAAAAATTGGAAACCCCCCCCCTTGTGACGATCCTGGCCCTGACGTATGCCAGACCTAAAGGCCCCTAGTGACCACAGGCTTACAATCAAGCACGCGGGTTGATCGACTGAGTGGTAAACACAACACCTGGTGTGTACTCACCACTTTCAATCTTGCCCTCGTTGCTGACATTGAGGGAGAGGAACTTGGCGAATCGGCTGGAGTTGTTGTTGAGGATTGTCTTGGCATTTCCGAAAGCTTCAAGCAGGGGGTTGACCTGTGGGGGTGCACATTTCAGCGTTAGATTTCAGATAAACAGAATTACTTTCATGATCCCTCTGCTCCACACAATGAAAAAGTCCCCCCCCTCCCCCAATGATGCTCTGCTTCACATAATTAAACTGACCAACCTTAATGACCCCCTGCTCCACATAATTAAACAGACCCACCTTAATTAATGACCCCCTGCCAAAAATAATTAAACAGACCCACCTTAATGATCCTCTGTTCCAACTCATTGAAATCGGTGCCTGCTATAGCAATGAGATGCTGAACCAAGTATTTCGTCGCTTCAGTCTTCCCCGATCCCGATTCACCGCTTACCAAAATCACCTAAAAATAAAGGTTTGATAAAAATTTGATAAATGCGAAAAAAAGCAGATAAAAACTACAAGAGTTGTATGTCATCTTCATTCTACAGCGGGATTCTTTGAAACTATGTGTTTGTGGGAGGGGTTTGATGGGTTTTGGATGGGGTTAGCATATTGCGATGTATATTATTTGTAAAAAAATAAACATGTACCATTATTAGTTTGTTGATTTTTAAAAAAAAATCTTAAGTGGTGGAGTGTAAAGTACTGGGAGTTGGGGTTTAACTATGTTGTTTTAGGAGTGGGGGGTGGGGGAAGGGGGGTAGTCTTTTGTCATCCATAGACGACATGCATTAAATACATACTGTTGTATGCAAGTGATTTGCTTATTTAAGTGAATTTAAATACATATTTATCAATCTTCTTCCTTTGTCCTGACGTCTAAGCCTTCTTGATGTATTTTAGTGTGAGATTGATTATCTAAATCACCCATTTGGTAAAAACTTCAAAGTGCATTCTGTTTTGTTATATTGTTAGGTGTGGCACATTACTGTCTGTCTTACGTGCATGAGTGTGTGTGTGTGGGGGGGGGGGGGGGGCTAGAATATAGACGTAACATATATTTGTGTTTGTTAATATTATAAATACTGGGGCAAAAAAAATATTTTTAATAATTCATTTAGACCAATAGTGGCGGACAAAACCGGGTGACTCCATTTTATGGTTGGGCGCCGCTTTTTGGTCGGGCACCATTTAAATGGTGGGACACCACGGGAGGACGCCATTTTATGGTGGGGCGCCATTTTATGGGACACCGCTTTATTGTGTGACATTAAAATTACTAAAAACCCAGCTTCATTAATGGTCCGTGTACTTTTACAACATATCAAAGTTGTGTACATTTTTCAAGCATATATATATATATATATATATATATATATATATATATATATATATATATATATATATATATATGCCTATATATATTGTAATATTGTAGGCTGATATATTGTTGTTGTTAAGGAAGACACGTGAGTTTTTCTGTGTATAACGTGACTGTTTACTATTGGACAGTTGGACAACAAAAGGTTCAAAACGAGGCTCCATGTTTAACCAAGGTTGTCAGGTCCCTACCTGGTTATTCCTAAGGTCCCTGATCCCTGTGTAAGCTTTGGCAGACACGGCGAAGAGGTGGGGGGCCGGGGAGATTTTGGCGTATTGGTAATCCTCGTAGTGCTGAAAGGGTAAATAAAAAAACATTATTAGAGATAGAGGGTGAGCCTAGAAGTTTTAAACTGAAAACTATCTTTACAAATTGAAGGTAGGGATACAAAATTAAAATACAAAAACCGTAGGAAAGATTTTTTATTAAAAACACCGAGAGATAAAACAAATTTAAAAACCTTTATAATGACAAGCTTTTAAATGCACTGAAAATAAGAAAATAAACAAACGCATATTCTTCAATAAAAATCTTTGGTCGCTAAAAATAAAATAAAATAAATCTCAGTCGACACTGACAAAACTCTGTATCCGCCCGTACACATCAAACTTTGTTCTAAAGCTTTCTGATACCTGCATGAAATACGTTCCCACACCCTCCACTCAACGAAACAGAAACTAAACAGTTTTCGTAGGGTCAGAGGCGTAGCGACCCTTCCCGGCGCCCGGGGACAAACTTTCAATTCGCCCCCCCCCCCATATATTATTTATATTTATAATGCAAAACTGCAGCTAAAATGATATTTTAATTTGTCTTTCCAACCCATGTTGGCGCCCGGGGACATATGTACCGCCCCCCCCCCCCCTCGCTACGTCTCTGCGTAGGGTCCTTGAGTTAGAAATCTCTTCAAATTTGACAGCTTCAAGGACTGGCGCAAGGCGGTGCGAAACAATCGTGGCAAATTTATAAAAATAAAACTACAAGGATCTTGCAAAAATAATGTTGATGCTGTACTAGAAAATTCCAAGAAACCAGTAGAAATTTGGTGATGCTGTATTAGAAACTTGCCTGTCTAAGTCTCTCAGCTATAATTAGCAAAACATAACATATATACCAGTCAACAACGCTGGCTAACTACAGATAGACTTTACACACAGCTGTACAAAACAGGAGGAAAGAGTTTTAAATCATCGATGACCGGATTTTCCTCGGGTATCAAGCAAATGCCTATCGATGTCAGAGTTTAACAAACGTAATAGTTTCTAAGTCTGTTAAAGTTTAACCTGATAGAGTTTAACAACTGTTTGATTGTCGCAGAGGCGTAGCGACCCTTCCCGGCGCCCGGGGACAAACTTTCAATTTGGCGCCCCCTCGGGAGCAAATTTCAATTTGCACCCCCCCCCCCCCCCCTCAAACTTTCTATTTGCACCCCCCCCCCCTCAAACTATTTATAAAGCAAAAATGCAGCTAAAATGACATTTTAATTTGTTTTTTTCAACCCATTTTGGCGCCCCCTGAGGTCGGCGCCCGGGGACATAAGTAACCCCCCCCGCCCCCCTCGCTACGCCTCTGGATTGTCGGGTTTAACTTGCCAGAGTTTAACGACCGCTTACATCTGTCAACTTTTAATGAGTGGTGTAGTATCGACAATTTAATGAGGATTTTAAAAAGTGTGCTATATCGCGCGGGTCCCTAGGGCTGAATCCTGAAGAGATGTTTTTTTTAAAAAAAATCAGCCATCCATAGCAGCCGTAATAATTTCCATTCCTTTAAAAAAGAAGAGCGGGTCTTGTATCAATAATCCTTTATCCTCGTGACTTGTATCTTTATAATTACTTTATAACAGCTGGATATTTTCTTGGAAACTATTTTTTGGTATTTAGTTAACCGGAAGTGGGTTTGGGTGCAGCCCAGGGGTGGGGGGGGGGGGATATGCAACCTATGGGTGGGGGAGATATGCAACCTATGGGGAGATATGCAGCCTATGGGTGGGGAGATATGCAGCTTATCAGGAGATATGCAACATATGGGGAGATATGCAACCTATGGATGGGTGAGATATGCAACCTATGGGGAGATGCAACCTACGGGTGGGGGAGATATGCAGCTTATGGGCGGTGTAACTGAATGACTGTGCTAGACTGTTCGAGCCTCTAGCACAAACTGTCCTATAAAATTTGTCTTTAATAGTTCCAGCTAATCCAGTTCTTTGTTCAGACAAAACTCAGGACCCGGACACAGTGGTCTAACCTTTCAGACAACTGCAACACTATCGCATCGTTTAAAGTTAGATTTTGGAGCCACGAAGGAATTTAGTTACCGGCCCGAAACGTTGCAACTGAAACAGATATCCTATCGCTTAGAGTAACATTCAACAGGAAGTTTTGTTACATTCCCGAAATTAAAGAACTGTTTTAGATATCCTGTTATTTTAAGTAAGGCTCAACATTGAATTTAGTTACACGCCCAAATCAATAAAATTGTAACATATATCCTTAAAGTAAAATTCAGCAATCAATTTTGTTACACGCAAAAATTAATAAAATTGTAACATAATATATCCTTAAAGTAAAAATCAGCAATTAATTTAGTTGCATTCCTAAAACTATAGAACTGTAACAAATTCTATCTGTTATAGTTCTATATGGAATCTATTAGTTAAATGATCGAAATTATCAGAACAGAAGTCTACTTGTCGGCTATACAATATATATATATATATATATATATATATATATATATATATATATATATATATATATATATATATCCAATATGGATTCCGATTGGACTTTGCCAGCATTATAACATGTTTCTTTCATTCTGTCTTAGACTCCGCTGTTGTTAAATTGCTAAGATTACAGGAATTATCTTTCAGAAGTTTTTGAATAAAAATTGTATACAGAAAACCTCTAGGCGTTACTTGAGTGATTTTGAATGAGATGGAACACCTACGAGGTGTGACAGATTGAAAAATAAATAACTATACCACTGAGTGTATGGAGATGTTTTTTTTTTTAATTATGAAAATAATTATTTTTCTTCATGCTATTTGCAAACTTTTTTTGTTGTCATCACGTTTAATCTATTTGTAGCAACGCAACGAAGAATTTCGAACATCACTTCAAAAAGGAGCGATTTTTTTTAAAGTTTTTTTTTTTCATTTTTTCTACAAGTGCAATTAAAAAATATATATATATATATATATATATATATATATGAAGATATATGCACTAGGGCTATATTAACACTAGAACTACCCCTTTTGAGACGGAAGAGCCAAAAGTTACAATCTACAAAACATCTAAATTTTTAAAGAGCTACTAACATTTTTATGTGCACTTCGGTAATGGAAAGCATAGAACCATTGCTAGTGGGGCTGGCCACAGCACAGTTGTGGGTCTGGGCCTAAAGTCCAGCATCTGTCAGTTGTCCATATACGCTCTACTCCACATATTCTCATTGTTTTTTTATTTTGTTTTAAGTTGTTTTTGCAGTATAATATTTTTTGAGTTTTGAAAATAAAATAATATAATTATTATGGAACTAGAGAGCCGCATATCGACATTAAAAGAGCCGCATGCGGCCCGCGAGCCGCAGGTTGCAGACCCCTGCACTAAGCTGATAAAGTTAAAATGTCTGTACCAACGAGTTAGTTCGTGCAAGACACCAAACAATCACGTCACAGTATAGATTACAGGTTTATGCTAACTTCCTCTTACAAGTGTTGAACGGCTACAGGAGCTGAAATATATGGCAGGCTACATGTCGTATGGCAAAAGACGATTGGCAGGGGCAATAAAACCTGCAAATGGGGGGGGGGATCGGACAAGCCCTGAGGAGAGGAGGGGATAACATTACGCACGTGACATGTGTTACACTGGAATCCCCAGGGGGAAGTAGGCCGACCAGAGCACCCTGGAGATAGTCCATGGAAGGAGAGGCAAGGGCTGCCGGGCTTACGTGGGCTCAACTAAAGAGAGCTGCCCAAAACAGAGCCCGGGGGAGAGGTGTGGTTGCTGCCCACTGCTCCTCATGGGCTTCAAAGGATTGAGTACTTTTAAAAGATCTGTTGCATAACCAAAAAAAAAAACTTGAACCACCGGGTACTTTTCGTGCAAATCAAAGAACTGCTTTACAACTAATAGACCTGAAGTATGTCTAAAAGACCTGTTTCTCAACAGAAAACCTAATCTTCCTTACCTCCGACCTGCATATATCCACTGGCTTGAAGGGGTTGACAGAGATTAAAATTTCTCCACAGAAACTCTGAAAAACATGAATCAAATATATGAGATCGTGAACAGATTACATAACAAAAACGTTTGCTTTTTCTCACTCACACTCTAGCTATGTAACATAAAATAACACTCCCACTACACACCATTCTGATAATATATAACACTTCAAACATATCCCCTCTCCGAAAAAAAACGACGACATATTTTAATACAAATGTTTAAAAACGTTTACGTCAGTTCATTGTTTTGGTTCACGGCCGTTGTATGAGAAACTAATGCCGATGTTTAGTTAAATGAGAGGGGAAAATGTGTGCTTGTGGTAGAAATTTGCGGAAATATGAATTTTAAAACTTAAATGCAATTTTAGATCAAATGTCTTATTGATATGGACCAATGAAGAAACGGAGGAGGGTGTTTAAATAGTGATGCCTTAAACGTGATATATAGTAGGGCTCATTGTAAACAACTCGTAATATACCCCTAATATAGTCAACAACGCAAAAAAATTGTTTTATCTAACATCAACAGGTGGTTTTTTTTTAAACTTTTGTTAAATTAAAAAATGAAATGATGCAAATATTTCATGAAACAATTTCACAGAATAGGTAAAAAAATAAAAATTTATATTCTGCTAGATAACAGTACAAAAATGAAATAAAAGACAGCGTTATGTAAATTTATAGTTTTGAACTTCTGAGTAATAAATTAGATTACAATGCCAAAAAAAAAGCCGCTTATTAAAACGTCGAAATGGCGTATTCGAGATTTTCTTCCTAGTATCCTAGCCTACCTCAAACCTAACCCTGGGTATAAATCTCGCCTTTGCCTAAATCCTGCCTGCCTGTCCTGACCATAATCCTAGCCTGAACCAGTGCTTCTTCCAGACTTTTTGCCCGGGGTAGGGCACTTGAAATTTTCGGGGGGGGGGGGGGGGAGGGGCGGACTCTGGTAAAAGTATATATCATATAAATTCTGTTTCTTTCGGGGGTTGGTGGTGGGGAATAGACATTTTGGAGATGCCTGGAATAAACTTTGGCCTGAATATTCATGCAAATCCTAACCGTAGTGGCGATACGCCCAGAAAGAACAATAAACACGCTAGTCTTTTCTATAAAAAATATTGCAGCCTAGTACTAATGTACTTCTTCTTCTTTGTTCTTAATTTTTAATGTTGGAAGGGACTTCCTCCAACACAGTCAAGTATTACGTATCAACATGTTATGCGCCATAGAGGCCGTTTCAGCCAGCTTTTCTTTTTGTGGATTTGCTTCCATAGCCTCTGTCCAACCAAGAACAAACTACAAGGCAGCAGTTGTTTGGTTCTGGAGTTTTCTCTACAAAACGAGTTCATGTCCTCAGCAATCGAGCCTCATCTGCCCGAGGGTTCGAACTCGAGACTTTTCGGTTTAGCAACAACGAGCTTCACCGACCTGACACCGCTGACCCTACAACGATACTAACAAGATCAATTTAACATCGATACTCACATATATCTTGTCATCTTTGTATCGCGCTTCAATACATTCCGATATGGTATCGAGTGTCAGCTCCGGAAGTTTCGAAAGGTCGACTATTTTTAGCGGGTCAGTTTCGATGAAAGACGTTTCATGGAATAACTGCGCATGTCCGTTATTTTGACCGAACGGGCTGGGTTTAGCTGAGATCGGCTCTATCCGTAGAGGTTGAGAGAGCGGGAAGGTTATCAGGCTCGCGGCTGACCCACGCGAATTGTCGTCTGGTTCGAAAAAACTGTCAAAAGTCACGCCCGAGGGCGGATTGTTGTGGGCGTGGTGACGCCTGACGGAGGCCGTTGTCTCATAGTCAGCTTGGGGTTCATCAATCCCGTAGTCTGCCGGGATGGAGATGTGTCTCTCAAGGGCGGAGGTGGATGTTTGTTCATCGTCGACAAACGCAAAGTTGGTCTGAGGTTTTTTCTTCAGGATCGAGGTATAGTTGGGCGTGTGGCTCATCTCAGCATTTTTCTCTTCTCGCTCGGGGGCCGGGATCAAAGGGAAGTCATCGTTGTCGCTTCCAAGCTCGTAGTACAAGGGGTCGGAGTTCTTGCCCGAACTATCGCTAGAGTGGAGACTTTTGAGTGACCTGTCAAATAAAATAAAAAGACTTTTGAGTGAAATGTAGACAAAATAAAGAGACTTTTGAGTGACCCGTCAAATAAAAAGATAAAGTGACTTTTGAGTGAACTGTCGAAAAAATAAAGAAACTATTGAGTGAACTGTCAAAAAATAAATAGACTTTTGAGTGACCTGTCGAAAAAATAAAGAGATTTGTAAAACACGTAAGACTTTTACCACCGATAATGAAACTTCCATCCTTAGAGTTTATATAAGGCTTAAGTGCATGGTAGTTTAAGAAGTTGGGGTTAGGTTTACAGTAAAGTTTGTGTTGGATATATTTTTTTAATTTGTAATCTTCTCTTGTCTAGTACCATATGTTTAAATAAAAAGATTCAGACTTTTTAAAAAAAAAACAAGAATCCATTATTCTTTTTCTGACACCAAGATTTACTGAACACGGGGTAAATTAAGGTTAAGAAATTAATATTAATAATTCAATTCAGGTTTTAAAAAATAATTCTAAATAATGATGCGCGGAAAAACCTGGCTAACATTTTCTACGAAAAGACAATGTAGGGAACCATTCGTTAATCTGGCATTTTTGTACATACACAAATTATGTTGGGTATTCACAGTTTTAAAAAGTGTTGAGGAACAATTTTATCGTCCATTCAATGATGGTTCTAGTATCAATGAAAGTTTTAGAAGATAGTCCGGTAACATTTGTTTTAATTTTATAGCTAACAAAACTAAAAAGGAAATAAAAATACAAATTGACGTTTAACTTACGACTGGTAGTGTGTCAATTTTAGGATTTGGGTGAAGAATTAGGTGAAGCTTTAGAGTTTGTCTGAAATCTCAGCTTTGTGCATCCAATGCTTTCTTTCGAGAACTTAAAGAATTGCTACTTTGGCTTTTTCATGGAATAGATTTTTTTTTAATTTTGTGCATCCTAGTTAAGAGTCATGCGTCACTCTCTATTTTTAGAACTTAAAATTGTTGGCGTATTAAAAGAATATTAAGTCTCGCATTGCAAAATTTCTGGAGGGAACACGTTTATTCTGTACATAGCTGGCTTATCCCCAACTCTGCAATGCGGATGTGAGGAGGGGGGGGGGGGGTGGATTCTGGGACGTTTGGTGGGGGGGGGGGTGCAAAAACCAGAGCTACAGTTAAAAAAGTAAAAGTAATTTATTTTTTAAAAAAAATTGTCGTGCCTCGATGAGTGTTTTTAAGAGAAAAATAACCCACTATAGCCACGACTCAATCGTATTTCTTTTACAGCTATTAGCCTACATACTATAGCGGTATGGCCTTCTTAAATCCATGTTTAATGGGCCTTCAATTAAAAAAAAGTTACTCACATAGACCCACATAAATAAATATCCCCTATATATATATATATATATATATATATATATATATATATATATATATATATATATATATATATATATATATATATATATATATACACACATATATATAGGCCTATATATATATATCTCCAAATATTTATATATTTATAAATAAATATATATATATATATATATATATATATATATATATATATATATATATATATATATATATATATATATATATATATATATATATATATATATATATTTATTTATTTTTATATATATACATATATATAGGCCTATATGCATATAAAATTATTTATATATTTATAAATAAATAAATAAATAAATATATATATATATATATATATATATATATATATATATATATATATATATATATATATATATATATATATATATATATATATATATATATATATATATATATATATATATATATATATATATATATATATATATATATATATATATATATATATATATATATATATATATATATATATTATATATATAAATATATATATATACCGTACAGATAAGTCTCTGAGCCCACCTGTTGTGAAGAAAATCCCTGTCTCAAGTAGAATAAAGCAGTTATTGTTACACAACCAGAAGTTGTATCACACCATGTATCACGCCGCCCGACCCACCCTAGCGTGACCGGCCAGCCGACTGGGATGAACGAACGGATCAGGCGACGCATGATTTCACCCCCAAGGGCCTACCCTCCTCTGAGCTAAATATAGCACCCGGATCCGTGTGGGCACCCCGCGTCATAAAGCAGATACACAGTTGTTGATCAATGTTACAAACTTTACTTGACAGTATATCAATGTTACAAACTTTACTTGACAGTATATCAATGTTACAACTTTACTTCACAGTATATCAATGTTACAACTTTATTTGACAGTAAATCAAACACTCGAAACTAGTTTTTTCTTCTTCTTTCTTCTTTAGCAATAAATAACAGAATTTTTTCCTTGATTTAAATACAATTTTTTCCCCCGCTGATACGGATTTTTAGTTTTCTTGAGTGCTGAAACACTTTTAATAAGCACAGTTCTATACCCTGTATATGATATATAACACAAAAAATGAACACCCCAAGCTTGTATATCAGTATATAACATTTCCTAAGACCACCACATTTAAAAAAAAAAAATTAAAGTATACATCTTGGTCACCCCCTTTAAACACGACGCGGTTGGGCGATTTCAGGAATAAATTAAATACATTCCATCAACGTAGAAACAAATCGCTATGCCGTACGTTGTGTGTTAACAATCGTGTCAGCTAAATGTGTGAATAGCAGAACTGTGTTAAACGTAAACAAAGAGAATGAAAGGCAGTGATGTAGGCTTGGTATGAACATAGAGAATGAAAGGCAGTGATGTAGGCTAGGTATGAAAGAATAGAATGAAAAGCAGTGATGTAGGCTTGGTATGAACATAGAGAATGAAAGGCAGTGATGTAGGCTATGTAGTAAGTAAAGTTCCCTTTCGGACCCGGCGGCTCGCGGAGCAGGTGAAGTAGAGTTAATCTGTGCTGTGACCTCGTCATATGAAGGGATAGTTTGGTCAGTACTATGCCCAGAAGCCTTTAGTTTCCCTAACGTATATAAGTTCCCTGAGGTAAGACTTAACATCATGCTTGGCTGGGTCCAGGGATGTACTACAGCTCTAGCCAGGGACTCGAACTCAAAACTTTTCCACCACGCCGTCCCATGTACTAGGGTCAAGTGAAGTAGAGTTCATCTGTTTCTGTGACCTCAGTGACGTTCTACTGACTAGAAACCCGGATTAGACTCTAAACTTCCGGTGATAGCAGTCTAGAGCTCTACCTAGTGGTCGCGTCTTCCCACCTAACATAACATAACATAACCAAATGATAAAGTGCTCTTTGTTCCCTTCGTGTTATATGTTATAACTAAGCTCGGGATTTCGTTATACTGTCATGTCACATTACGGTACGTATTAATCAACCTTAAATTAAACCTCTACAGCTAAGGTAACCAGTATTTAACTAATAACGTTTATTTACTCACAATAATTTTGTAGCTTTTATAAAAACACCTACCTTAATCTATTCTAAACCAAATTTGTGAAGTGAAATTTTTTTTTTTTAATTTTTTTTTTTAAGTAATTGCAGCACGTATACTGGGCTGCTTTCAAACAATAATCTTTCCCCGATCCCCCCCCCCCTTGCAGCAAAACACATCGTCACAAAAATTACATTTACCCCTAAAATTATATCTACTTAGTTTAACACCCTCCTCATCAACTTGTACATCAAATTGAATTCATGTTATTTAAAAAAAAAAAAGAATTCATTTTTACAATAATGATTTATCGGTGTAAAGATTAGGTACTTTAATCCATTTCTTTCATAAGTCACAAAGTCGGTGTAAAGATTAAATACTTTGATCTATTTCTTTCACAAATCACAACGAGTTTTAAAGCATCAGGAATAAACTACTAAATATCCAGGGTTTCTTTTATTTTTAGAATTTTCTTTTTCAAATGCAGAAGTGTGACGTTGCACTATTCAGTCGTCACACATAGTCACAAAAATCAACCCAATCCAGGAATACAACGTCTGTGGCTGTCTAATAGCATGTATGCATGCATATCTCCTCTTCACTACAATACCAGGTGGGCACACGAAAGTGTAAGAATAACATTCTTTAGAAACTAAGCAGAGATTTAGACGCAACAAGATCAAACGCAACCATCGTCACCCCCACCCCCCTCCCCGTTCTGCACCACCAACCCATTCAAACGAATTTTTTCAACAGTGTGCTTTGAATTTAAAAAATTTAAATCGCGAAGTTATTTCTTTTTCATTTCGACTTTTATAAACCCGAATCGCGAGTTTAGATAGACTCCCCGTGATGTGAATTATGCAACCGTTCCGTTTCGCTTTTAACAGTGCAGAAATCCGGAATACTAGCAGCTGGCCCGTAAATTAAGCCGTTAGTTACGGGCCGATGAAAAAGTTTTAAACTGCTAGTCAGATTTACCTGTAGATGTGTGGACTGGAAGGTGTGGTAGCCTCCGGCTAAGTTAGAAAAAAAAAGTGCATTTTATTTTGAAATGTGGTGACTTTAATCTTGATGGCGAGAGAACAATTTACAATTAGGTGACGTCTGGTTAGCGTTAACTGGGGTGTGACGGGGGGCGAGCCTTTAAAGTATACGTGTGGGTGAGTCGGAGGGTGTTTACCTGATAACCTATAAAGATTTGGTGGTTCATCAACCTTTTTTCCATGTCCTCGTTAGAAGTAAATACCGGCACATAAACTAGAGACAGAACCTATCGGAATATACATGTCTATCAGACCAAGTACCAGTTTGGGGGTGGTCCAGTTGTTTTATTAGGCCCCCCCCCCCCTCGCCACCCCCTTAGTGTTTACAACTTCCTTATCGTGGTTTTGAGTGTCTGGTTTCTGTTTTTGTGTCAGAGGTTGCGCTGACATGGACCCAGGAGCTAAGGTGGTAAATTACATGGACCCAGGAGCTAAGGTGGTAAATTACATGGACCTAAAGGTTTACATGGTAAAAATTTTTATGAAAATGTTATTATGTTTTTAAAAAAAAGGCCAATGTAAAAAAGGTCAACTTTTGTTACGGTTATTG